AGAGACAAGAGTTAGGTAGAATCCTTTGAGCCATTGAAATAGCCTTCTAACAACTCTCCTGGCCTTCACCACCCTGGCCTCACTAGCCCAGAACCTGAAGTGCCTGCCACTTGTTCTCTTCCAAAAACAGTTGCAATGCTGACATTCCTCTGCTCAGACACCATCACCTGCTCCCTATGGCCCAGGGAATACAATTTGTATTTCTTCTGCAGCCATGTGTGTAGCAGTCTCGGTGAGCACCAGACAGATGTGGGGTTTCACCATCCACATTTGCATTTCTCAGAATGCACACACATTTCTCAGAACATATCCTCTTCACGAGGCAATCCACAACTGTACTGTCCACTCACTGTCTCTGTCTGGGTCTGACATCTGGCCTGCAAGGGATGTGATTGGCTCCTTCCTTCTGCAGCATCCAAATAGCATCTCCTGATGGTCTTTCTAGTTAGTTGCCTCTCCCTGCCTCCCGGCTTATTATGTCTAAAACCAGCCCTGTGGGAGAGATACTGCTTTCTCCTTTTACCATCTGCACAACATAGGTTATACTCCTGTGCAGAGAAGACCTGACTTCAAATCCCACCTCTCCATTCACTAGCTGTGAGACCTGGATATACTTCTTGATCTGTCAGAAGGTCCTGTTCCCTGTTTGTAAAGTGAGAACAATGAGTAATTCTGCCTTCATATGGTGATTGTGGATTTTAAGTGAATCACATATAGCCCACTAGGACTAGACCCCGAGAAAGCACACAGGGGTTATCAGCTCTTTTTATGGGGGATTTTTTGTGAACACGATGAGAATGACCTTAGTGCTAACTAAAGCAGTTACTGTTACTGGGGAGCCAGAGACTCACTTCCAATCAATTTGATTAACACTGGCATTGTTACCCATGCAAAGACAACAAAAAGCTTCCTTTTTTATTCCTCATCTAGTCTCCAGATAATCCTAAAATTGCATACAGCCCAATGCAAGTCAAATAAAAAAGGAAAACAGTAATTATACTAAATCAAACATTTTATATTTCTATGTTCTAACAAGAGCTGTAACTGCACAAGCCACAACTGAGTTCTTTTCCGAGCACGGCTGGAGACAGTGCCTACTCTATGGGACGATTTCTATCCTGCCGACCCTGGGGTTTTTTTTAGACCCTTTCTCAGGTGCAACACAGGAAACCCAAATGGTGATTCCAACAGAACAGACGAGCACCCGTTCACTGAAAAATCTAGCCCATCTACTTCATGTGGGGAAAATGCAATACAAAGCTTGAATACACGTGCCACGTCTTACATACAATAATCAATTCAATTTTTTTAAAAAACACCTAAGTATATGAGGCACGCTAATAGTCCCATGTTCAAAAACAGCTATATAGTGTAATTTAACAATAAAAAAATCTAAACATAGGAAGTATAATACAAAAAAACCTTTGATTACAAAAAATCTTTCAATGGAAAGTACTTTCCACCATTTTCCATGTAATTCTAACACTTTAATTCCCAGAAGCCTCTGAGGTACATGTGCATGAGCTCAAGAACATAAATGGGAACAAGAGGCAAAGAGACCCACAGTTCTCCCAGTCACTGTGCAAGGAGGCCTTTGGCAAGCTGAAGGACCTTTGTACCCAACAGCCTCACTCTTGAAGGCAATGGCAGTGCAGATGAGTGGTTTTGTTACCAACAACATGCCAACTGTTGCAAATGCTTTAGTCTGTCTTTGGAGGGACGCGGTGAAAACTGCTAGACTTTTCCATGCCTTCTCATCATTGCCTATTTTCTCCTGAATGAACTATTACAACCGAGTTAATACTCTAGTCCTAAATCCTTCTCCCCTGAGACTCCCTGGGCATGCTTTCTCCTCTGTGCCACCATGCTTCCTTGTCCCATGTCCTGGTGTATTCAATGATGTGTGTCCTCGTTCGTTGCCCTCCTACCTGGGAAGGTTCTGGTGGTCCAGGCCCCACCTGCCCTCCTGGCTCCCTCCATGCCGGGCAGACACTGCACCTAGTGAGCCCTCCAAGAAGATAGGCCTGTAGGAAGCTAAACAGAAAACGTATCCATTGTGTGAAAGACCCCTTTTCGTGGTGACATCTGGGCTCCCCATTGTTTGATGGGCACAGGAGTCAAGCGGCCAAGCTGAACAGGATCTCCGTTGGAAGCGATGTCAGCATGGCCTTGAGAGCACATCAGATTCTCTTAATTATGATACAAAAAGACCGACTCTGTAAGAGAAGGGAGCATTCTGAAAGCCTGTTCAAGCCACTTGAAGACAAGTGCAAGGCCATCAGGAATAAAACCTTCAACTTGGCCTAAGCCTGGGGGTACGGTGCGACAACCCTGACACTGTGCCTGGAGAAGGATCCTGAATATTTTCCTTGAAAAAGAAACATCTGTCCCCCTGTCCCCCTAAACTGACTGGCAATCCATTCATTCATTGGCTGAGTATTGACTCTGCTCCCACAAATGACCAAAACTGACTGCACTGAGCCTCAGAGAGACAAAGCATCTAGAGAGGCCAGCGTGATGCTAAAGATTACTCCTGTTTCTCTCCTGGCCGTCTAAAGGTATTTCCTTGGGCCTGTCTGTGTTGTGACAGTGTCCTAGACTTAAATGAATGCCTCTAACACTCCACATTTTTGAGCCATTCAGTCATGCATTTTTGTTATTGTTGAAAGTGGTGCGAAATTGCACTGCATGAGCTAAAGTCCTTGGTGGTCTTCCAAGGATTCCAGCTAAAAAGGCACTTCCTTTGTTCCTCAGGAGAATGCAGTCCAGTAGGTCATTCAAAAGGGGAAATAAAAGCAGCAGCCCTGGGAGGGAGATGAAGGACAAGACAAAAAGAATAAAATGTTTGGGGTGTGAGCACATTAGCTTCCATTTCCTGCTGTTGGCCACTAATAACTGTCCTATCTTTGGGGGCAATGTCCAGGTAGACCTTTAAGCACAAAGGTTCCTCAGGTGTTTTCTGGGAGCTGCGACCACCCAAGGGCACACCTTGCGCATTGTCACTGAGCGCCTTCCGGCGTCCTCCTGGGATGCTGGCTGAGGAAGAAGGCCCTGTCATTGCCAGACCAAACATAGCCAAGTGGGAGCAAAGTGGGGAGGGCAACCTCACACCCCACTCTCTGAATGCCTCCAGGCCTATCAAAGACACATATTGTTTGGGTGAGCAGAAAATGAAAACTTGTCACATTCCCAGTAACTGCGCTGCTGCATCTATCCCTTCGAAATGTGGGAATGACAACTGTAACCTTCACGCCAATCATCTCCCCTGGGCCCAGGCCCAAACTGTGCAGGGCACAAAGGCTGCAGGTCTGACCTGCAGAGCCCCCAAGCTTCAGTGGCTGCTGCTTCACTTCACTTTTTCTGCCAGGCGGGAGGAAGAGAGGAAAGAAAGAGGGCTTTTCAAGGCTCCACAACCAATAAAACCGTGCCGCTGGGAGGACCTACATACTTGAGCTCCCCAAAAGGCAGGCGGCTCAAGGGCAAACAGTGGTTCGACGGTAGCTGCAGCCCTGCGCTAACTGCCAAGGTGCTCTGGGTTCTCAGGTCGCTCCAACCATTTCTCCAGTTCTATTTCTAGACAGATGCCGGTTATACTCAGAAAATGCCCAGCAACTTGCCTCAATTATCTTCGTAATTTATATGCAGGTGATCACTGCACTTAATCTCCAAGGATATTAATAGCCTTTCCAAAAAAAAAAGTGCCCCCCCCAACCTTCGGAAGCCTTTGGAAGCGCCTGGTTGAAATTCCAGTATTTCCCTTGCTGGCTGCCAGCCCCCTGCCCGCCCGCCCCACCCTGGTGACCAACACCGCGAGGCAAAGGCGCGCTCCACAGAGGGTTCGCAAGGGAAGCCTGGCCTCTGAGGCTGGAATCACTCGCTGGTCTGCTGGTCCTGGGCCGTTAGGTTATGCTGGCCACCGGCCAGCTAGGATCCTGGTACTTTCTGAACCCCCGGGGCAAACGGGCTACCTGCGCAGCCGCGGCCCTAAGCGCAGCCTGCGGGGCTGCGGCAACAGTTGGCCTCTGCCAGTGAGGGAGTGTGACCCAGGGGACCGGCCCGACCACCGCTGCCAGCCTCGCGTGGACGGGCCCAGGGCGTCTTCCCAACCCAAGAGCTGCCTCCGCGGAACCGCGAGAGGGGCTCTCTCAAGTACCCCACGCATCCCGCCCCCAACCCAGCGCCGAAATCTGGTGAACTTTTTCCACGGGCTAAGTCTTCTCCGTTTGCATAACCATCTCCAAACCAAGATCCAGGTTTCATGCAATCAGTCCTTTCAAAGGTCTGTAATTGAATGTGCAATTAACCCTCAAAATGAAGCAAGAAAGAACGAAGAGGGGGAAATACCCTTCTGGTCCAACACCTTCTGGAAAGCAGGAGCGCTCCCCAAAGTCAGGGTCTGCAGAGGTTGAGAGTCATTTGACTTTTTAAAGGCGACTGCTAAAGCCCCGGTAGTTACTAAAATTCCGGATCCGCATCAGCGGTGGGAGAGGCGGGGAGGGGTTTTAAAGAACATTAATGAAACATCGATTCACGTTTTGCGCCCCCCCCCCGAAACCTGGCCACGTCTGGAAGGTTTTCCCCACACCCCCTCCGCCCACTGGCGATCCTCCACCCCCACCCGACCTCTCGTTACCCACACAACAAAGCGGGGAGCCCAGTAAAAGAATCCAACCCGGAAAAGGCGAGGGAACGGTGACACGCACTTTGCGGGCCAGAGTCCACTGAGACTTCCTGGGACCGGGGCGAATGAGGGGGGCTGGGGGGCAGAGCGCGGGAGTGGCACAGAGCAACTTGGCCGTGGCGCTTCGCTCCGGGCGCCCAGCTGGGGGGGCCCCCCCGCAACGCCCACCCGCAACAGTCTGCGCCGGGCGCGCTCCCGCCGCCCCGTTTCTCCCTCTCGGCAACCTGCGACCCTCGCGGGGGGTGGCGAGGCCAGCGGAGTCCGCGGCCACTTCTCCGTGGCGCCCGTCTGTGCCCGCCTCCCCGGGGCTCCCACCTACCGTTGATCTCGTGCGTGGGGGCATCGTCCTTGTCGAAGCCTTTGGACATGTAGAGATGTCTCACTTCCGAACAACTTTTCGACTTAAGCTCGGCCGCCAGCTGCGCGGCGCTGAGCACCGCCAGGGTGCAGAGAAGCGCGGGCAAGGCGAACCGTGCCATGGTGCGGGCCGGGGCGGACGCGCTCCCAGCTCCGAGACAGGACTGCAAGGGGCGGGCGCTGAGTCGGGGTTCGCGGGTGGAGCGGGAAAGCGAGGGAGTTGGAGAAGGAGTTGGAGCGGGAGGAGGAGCGCGGTGGCAGCAGGAGGAGGAGACGCGGGACGAAAAGTGGAGCTGGGCCTCGCACGTCAGGCAACGGTTCCC